ATGTGGTCAGCATTCAATGTCGAAAACTTACAGAGCTATTTATTTTGGAGATTTTTTTACTGCTACAAAAGTAATCTCATGAACTATTTACATATGCTGCATTAACCAATGTTTTTAATGACATCAAAAATGTCATAATTGGGTCACTATCCAGAAGTCAGTTAAAAGCTTAATCTTGGAACATCTACTGAATTCCGGTCACTCTCGGCTCACCAGAAACCCCCTTCATTATTGTACATGGTTAGAAGTGTTGGCTCAACAGGAATGCAATCGAAGAATTACTATACAACATAGGCTATTTCTATCCACTAGTTTAAGTCAAACCCTTGCGTATAAAAACAGTTTGTTCAGTCCCTCATTCTTTCATGACCATAACCTCTCTCAATTATTAATTCTGTTAATTTTGACACACTTCAAATCCTTTTTTCATAATAACAAAGGAATTAGACTTTTCACTGCTTATTCAGTAATACATCCGACCTTCTGGGATTCGAACCCAGTATCGTTCGCTTCAAACGCCATCACGTTATCCACTTAGCTACTGAGCCCTGATAGCCATTTGCTTGTGTAATGGAGTGAAGTTTTAAATTCACTTGATATTGTTCACTTGTAACTTCCCATCGTTATTTCAGGTACATATGTAGTGAACGTGAACAACTGTGGGGACGATTGAATGCATTTGAATAGAAAACTACACAATATCTCAGTAAAATCTGAGAACCATACATTAAATACTTCATTTACAAAATGTCAATCAATATTCTCAGACTTCACTGTACCTTTATTTCCAAAGCAACCTTTCTCCGTTCTAGTTCTCTTTTCTCCGATCATCTAAACTTTCTGCTGCCAGACATTTCATTTTCGATTGATGATATATACTACTTATATCTGTCGACATCAGTATCACAAACCACACATCCATCTAACGAGTCTAAAATAGGACGAAACGCATGTCCTGAATTCCAGTGCTAACTATCATCCATCTTTGATCATTCACCTAGATTTGTGTAAACGTTTTGAAACTCTCCCACACCGTATTATCGAAATCGACTTAATTCATAAACTAGATAGAAAACGTTTGGGCAGAACTAGGGTCTTAAATGTGGTCAAAGGCGTAGACAATCAAAATAAATATACGGACAACGATGGGTTAAAAAAAGTAAAACTCATCAAGATCAAGGTTGACAGGACAAGCTGTATATCATACGTGGAGAAATTCGATTACCTCACCTCTGATTGTAGTTTATGCTAATGATGCTATACAGAAGAACAATGATGAATTCACGAATAAACTGTTCAACTCAGAAAACGAAACTTCATTATAATCGGACATATCATTTTACAAACTTCAGATAATTACTGTCCTCTCCTCTTTATATATTTCAGATATCAATGAAGATACATAGCTGGTTAGCGTTTTTTGCAGCAAGAGTTTGTCTATGGGATGGGGTTGCTGAGCTTATGCCCAACCCTCATCCTTTACCCAGGTTTGGGACCGGCAGTAACTCTAGAAGAGCTATAGGTGGAGTTGAAGATATATATGCTTAACGTACTACATTTTTTATGATGTTTATATTCTAATGAAATTACATATTGGTATTACAACTTTTCATTTACCAGTATGTAATGTGATGAAGATACAGTTGTAAGCTGATGAGGCAAAACCATGAAATAAAATGAATTTATGCTATTTTACTTCACTTCTTAATTTAATTAAAGGCAACTAATAGTTAGATCATTATATTGTTAGGAATTAGACTGAGTAAAATCAATAACATTTAACTATCGGTATGGGATTGAAGAGATTATTAAGTTTTTTGATTGAAACCAGGAATCGATTGATGTTAGACTATCCTGTTGTGGAACTCTTCAGCACTGTGTATCAACGGTCCTGCTAGCCAGATTCAGACCCAAGGCTTTCGGTTTCGAGCACGAATGCTTAATCTCTAAACCACTGAGCCAGCATCCAGTGGTGTTAATGTCTTGCCCCAACCAATTAACAAAACTGCGCGACCATCATTCATTGTACTGAGGTATATGCCTGTCTCTACCTGATATTGATTAGCTCCACTGGTCACGGTTTCTTAGTAGAACTCAGAGGATTCCTTCACGAAGCTAGTCACTAGTGAACACATGATAATTATCAGTATGGGGTTCAAATCCGGCGAGCTGGATCGTTGGTGTGTACAGCTGAGGAGTCCTACAATAGGATGAAATGACCGTCCAGTGCTTCTAGGTTTTCAATAGTGGTCCAACATCAACTGATTCATGATTTCAATCAAAAAATAAAATCTAATTTTGAGGAATTATTGAAAGATGTTTTAATTGTAAATTCAGAAATAGTAATTACATATAATGGTATAATTTTTCTAAAAAGATTATGTATTTAATAAAAGTGTCATTCAACCTTGAAGAACGAAGAACACATTACGCCGAGAAATAGAGGTAGATATGAGAAGAATGAACAACAATTGAATAGCACTAGACAGGAAAACCAAGAAGAGAATAGATTGGAGAATGTTGGTCAGCGGACTATGCTTCATCGGGTGGTAACAAGTGTAAGTAAGTATTTAAGGCACATAGCTAGTAGCTCGTTTTATGTATATGCAAACAATTTGATATCACATGATTTCCTTCATCAATGTAAATGTAAAGAGATTTTGAAAGCCATTTTCTCTTTTAAATCTCTCCTTTCTACTGTCTTGTTTTCAATGACAGATAACTCTTAAATTTATCTTACCATGTGATGCCTTCTAAACTAAACTGTAATAATTGGTATTTTGGTATCAGTATCGAGACTGCCCTAAACAATATGAATTGAATGTTGATGTAGAAGCTATTGGAATCAGATAATCTATGTGAAGGCCGGACGCTATTAGCAACAACCAACTGTGAGAAAGAACAAATTAGATCCCAGCGGAGGAAGAAATTAGGAAGAAGCGCTGGAAATGGATAGGACGCACATTGAGGAAAGCACCCAACTGCGTCACAAGACAAGCCCTCACATGGAATCCTCAAGGCCAAATGAAAAGAGGAAGACCAAAGAACACATTACACCGGGAAATAGAGATAGACATGAGAAAAATGAACAAGAATTGAATGTAACTAGAAAAGAAGGCCCAGTACAGAGTGGGTTGGAGAATGCTGGTCTGCGGAATATGCTCCATTAGGAGTAACAGGTGTAAGTAAGTAAGTAAGTAAGTAAGTAATCTATGTGAAATAAGAAGTATGATTCTTTTGATGATAGACGAACTGGACTCAGTCAATTTCCTTCTCTCTATGTAATTTCACACTCATTTTATTTATTGTAACAGAATAAGTGAAGTAATTTAGAAAACTGAGAACCGATTTTATGATGGAAATGTCCAGCTCCGTTCTACTTATCTGACGTTTTCGGAGTTGATCCTCGGTGAGATCATGGGAGAGAAATGTTCATGGATCTCATGCTAGGACGGAATTGATGTTCAATATTTCTTGATTTTCAAGTATTATTTAGGGAAATCAGTTGAGAATATGAACTACGATTGTCGAAATGGGAAACCGATTCCTTGACGAAATCACGTTTTTCAATGTTAGTTGGATATGTATTTGTAATAGACACACCAATTTTATCAGTTTGTACAATAGTATTTCAATATTGATGATACAACAATGAATCGGTTGGTGGTTTCATATCTTCAAGTATCTGTCTTTGTATGGATCGGTCGTGTACAGACCAAATTAGGTCACTACAGATCATCGTCGAACAATTATCTGAATTGAACTCGTCACTATACATCAACTTCCCTGACAATGAGGAAGCGTTTGACAGTATGGACAGAAAAACATTATGGAAACCTTCCTTGACACTATGGATTTCCTGAAAGAATTATCAACATCATCCGGAATTCATGCGTCGTTTAACGGTGTGGGGTAACTGAAGTAAGTAAGTAAGTAAGTAAGTAAGTAAGTAAGTAAGTAAGTAAGTAAGTAAGTAAGTAAGTAAGTAAGTAAGTAAGTAAGTAAGTAAGTAAGTAAGTAAGTAAGTAAGTAAGTAAGTAAGTAAGTAAGTAAGTAAGTAAGTAAGTAAGTAAGTAAGTAAGTAAGTAAGTAAGTAAGTAAGTAAGTAAGTAAGTAAGTAAGTAAGTAAGTAAGTAAGTAAGTAAGTAAGTAAGTAAGTAAGTAAGTAAGTAAGTAAGTAAGTAAGTAAGTAAGTAAGTAAGTAAGTAAGTAAGTAAGTAAGTAAGTAAGTAAGTAAGTAAGTAAGTAAGTAAGTAAGTAAGTAAGTAAGTAAGTAAGTAAGTAAGTAAGTAAGTAAGTAAGTAAGTAAGTAAGTAAGTAAGTAAGTAAGTAAGTAAGTAAGTAAGTAAGTAAGTAAGTAAGTAAGTAAGTAAGTAAGTAAGTAAGTAAGTAAGTAAGTAAGTAAGTAAGTAAGTAAGTAAGTAAGTAAGTAAGTAAGTAAGTAAGTAAGTAAGTAAGTAAGTAAGTAAGTAAGTAAGTAAGTAAGTAAGTAAGTAAGTAAGTAAGTAAGTAAGTAAGTAAGTAAGTAAGTAAGTAAGTAAGTAAGTAATTAAGTAAGTAATTAAGTAAGTAAGTAAGTAAGTCATTTAATCTTTGAATATACTTAACATCATATATAAGTATTGTCCATTGTTTTACATAAGAAAAAGTTTAACTTATTGATATTCTGTATTCTCTTATATTTGTACTGTTAATAATATTGAATAAGAAACAAAAACAATCGGATGATATGATGTCATAACAATATGATGTAATGTTATGTAATGATAGTCATTTGAAAAAATGAAAAAAAGGGACATCCCCCTCATGTTAAATGATTTGTCATTGGATATTAAAAGTAAATAAATAATCAATAAATAAATAATCAATAATTATCAATTTTATTGGAATGATATTGATTTAATTGTTTTTGTTTAAGAAAAAAATTTTTTTCTTTTCTTTTTCTTCTTCTTCAATAGAAAATATGAAAACATTGAGAGTTTCTTTTCTTTTTTTTTATTTCAACAACATTCAAGAATGTGTGGATCTTTACCAGTAGATGATCGACGTATCATCCAAATTGCAATTAATATATAAATCATTTTAATTATTGTAAATGTAAAACATAAAGCCAATATTAGATCGATAAATTTATAAGTGTAATTATTTAATACTTCAGCACAACCCTGTAAATTGGATAAAAGAAGAAGAAAAAGAAAAATGTTTTTTTGATAAAGTAATAAAGAAGGAATTCTAAGTAGGATATTCTGTATTCATGTATACATGAATGGTTGATTATTGTACAGAAAATTAGATTAGATTGATGAGGTTACAAGGTATTTTTCATATAGAGATGAAGTTTCAATGGGTTCTCTATTGGATCCTATCTTGGCTGATTGTTTTATGGCCAATTCGGTACTTTGACCAATAATTAAGAGATTTCATTTACAAGTTGAAATCATGAATCAACTGAAGCTAGACAACCATGGGAAACCTGGAAGTACTGGAAGTCCGTTTCATTCTAGTATGGGACTCCTCAGCAGTGCGCACCCACAATTCCGCCCACCCCCGAGAGATTTGAACCGAGGACCTATCAGTCTTGCGCGCGAGCGCTAAACCGGCCGGTATCTAATGGTGTTAATGTCTAACTTCAACCAATCCACGAAATTGCATTTATATAAGAGATATATGGATGGTACTTTTATTGTTTGAGAAAAAGATATGGACCTCAATGAAATTTTAAATAGTTTCAATAACTGTCACCCCTCAATTCATTATTATTTTCTTTATTATCCTTGTCTCCTCTTACTCTACATTTCTAGACTAGTTGACTTAACAAGTATATTATGTGTGATTAGATTATTCGAAATGTATAACGCTAATATAGTCTTCGTCTACTTATTAACCTATAGAAACTGAATCACCTTAAACAAACTGATAACCTGAAAAATTTCCATATTGATATAAGCGATTAATATTGTTTTGGATTAGATCCTCATCGAGCTTTACTCTAATATGCAGTAATGTATTTATATATGCATATGCGAAATGAATTAAACCAATCAAGGAAGTTTATGAGTCAATGATAACAAGGGAATAGATTACATAATAAGTGAAAAGTACAAATTCATAGTGGGATAACAGGTACACTGTTTTTGATAAGAATAATAAAAGCTCAAATTAATGTTACATAATCGGAAATAGGTCAATGATTATAGAAATATAGAGTGTGAGATAACAAGCCTTTTGTAAGCAATGGTGCATAGTGGCTAGCCGTGGAATCCAAGACACGCATTTCGTCCTATTTGGGACTCGTCACCTGGATGTACCTACATATCAGAGTTGATGTTCACTCTGGGACTCGAACCCAGTACCTTTCTCTTCAAATGCCATCGCGTTATCCACTCAGCTACTGAGTGCTGATAGCCACTTGCTTGTGCAATGGGGTGAATTTAAATTCACTTATTTCGAGTCTCAGAGTGAACATCAACTCTGATAAGTGGGTACATCCAGGTGTCGAGCCCTATGTAGGACGAAACGCGCGTCGTGGATTCCACTGATAGCCACTAACCATCTTTACCTAGAATATTATTTTATCTTTTTTAAATCTTCTGCCCTGATTAGATTAAGATGAGACATTAAGCAAGGGATTTATTTGTGGCTCGTCCTCAAAGAATATAATCTACATGATTCTTATATAATTGATTTACACGAATATGTTACTCACTTATTTAGGTACTTTTTCTCACAACCTAGACTGATTGAAAGAAGAAAGCTTCTTGTTCGAACATCTCATTTGGAACTTCTATGTTTACTTAAGCCAAGAAGGATATCATGATGAAAATTGTTTTTTTTTCAAAACAATATTTAAGTGCACATGTATACGTTATATGTCTATTTGATTAATTATTCATTGTACGTAGTTTACTGTCTTCAGGTTTACTAGAACAATACATATTTATGGACAAACTAACCATGTCACTATCGGGTTTTGAGGATTGTTGAGTTTAGATCAATATCTGGAATTGATCAGTGTTAGACTGTCATTGAAAAACCGGAACCACTAGACGGTTGATTCGTCCTACTATGGGACTCTTCATCAATGCTCATCCACCACTCCTCATATGGGATACTAGGACCAGACAGCCGTCTAGTGCTTCCACGTTTTCAGTGATGAACATTGATCCATTCATGATATCAATCTAAGCTATCTATGTTTGCTATTCTCTACGTAGACAAGGATAACCAGTTTTGGTGCTATATCTGGACATTTCTAAAGCTTTCGACATGGTTAGTCGCCAATTTCTTATAGGTGAACTCGCATCTTATGTCGTTCAAAATTCTTTACTAGCTTGGTTTGATTCCTTTCTCAGCAATCGACATCAACTAGTTAAAATTAACTCCTCATTGTCTAACGCTGTCCCTATTAGGAATGGTGTAATACAAGGTAGTGTCTTGAGCCCTTTGCTATTTTTGGTGTTTATCAATGATATTTGTGAAGGTTTTTGTGTCGGTAAGCCCCCTCTATATGCAGATGATCTTAAAGTAGTCTATTCATTTTCTCCACATGAACTGAACAATGTGCAAAATTGCATCAGCATGGAGCTTAACAGGGTAGCATACTGGTGCTTAAAATGGCAACTGGAGCTTAATGCGGCTAAATGTAGATGTATATGCTTCGGTGATACATCAATCAACATAGATCTTACCACAAATAGAGAAGTGTTACCTATGTTACATACAGTAGTAGACTTAGGACTTAGATACTCCCAAGACTTGTCATATAAAGAACAGATATTGAAACAGACCTCTAAGTCTCAACGTCTAGTAGGTCACATAACTCGAAACCTTTATAACAATGAGTCACGTATTTTAATGTACAAAGTTTGTGTTCGACCACCTCCAGAATATTGCACGTTCATTCTTAGCAGTGCACGCATATAGGATAAATTAAGGCTGGAATCAGTACAGAGACGATTTACACTTCGTATTCTTGCAGCTGATTGTACCTTCACTTATAATTCTAGATGTAATAAACTTGGGCTAGACCCTTTATGGAAGAGGAAACTCAAACTAAATCTTATAATCTTTTTCGTCAAACTACTTCATAAACTATCGTTTACATCCAATCACGTGATCCAATATACAGAAACCTCTATGACATCCGTAATTCCTTGGCACTAGTGAAACAAACTCATTCTAAATAATCTCTTTATATGAATTACTTTACCTGTAAATTTTCTAAACTCTGGAATAACCTACCATAATCTATCCGTACGATGAAATCACTCCCATTATTTGTTCTCTGCATCGATGCATACTGCTCCTCTGAAAATGCGTTGAACTTTCTAGCACCTGTGAATGTATCTCATTCCACAAGTGAAATTATAGGATCTTTAAGTGTTTAGCCATCTTTATTAGTGCATTCCACAAATAGAACCACCTACATGCTATCACTTTACGTTAATACTGTTCCTAGCAACCATAACTAATTTGAATAATATCTAACATGAACAGTATATCACTGGGTCACATGACACAAGCATTATGGTAAAGCTGGTTGACATAAATTCGCTTTATATTGTTTTACTCGTGTCTTCCAATTGTTATTTACGACTGTAATTGATCAGTCTCATGTTTGTATATGTGCATCCTGTGCGGATTGCCTCAGAGTTGTTGTTCACTACGAGACTCGATACCAGTACCGTTCGCTTCAAATAACATCGCGTTATCCACTTAGTTACTGAGTCCTAATAGCCAATATTGAGGTAATACGCACACTTTGCACATATGTCAATAAGGGACTGATGGTAGATTCCAGTAATTAATACCAAGTAAATTTAAACTTCACCACATTGTACATGCAAGTGGCTATCAGGACTCATTAGGTAAATGGATAATGTGATGGCGTTTGAAGCGAAAGGTACTGGGTTCGAGTCCCGGAGTGAACATCAACTCTGATATGTAGGTACATCCGGCTGACGAGTCCCAAATAGGATGAAACGCGCGTTCCACTGTTAATCACTATCCATCTTTTTTGATTGAAATATTCTAGTCATTATTGCTTTGTTGTTCCGTGCTCTCTGTTTTCATTTTAATTTCTCTAATTGTAAATAATTATCAATAATTCGTTTTGGCATAGGAAATGACCTTAAATACACAGTTCATAAATCAACAGGCTGTCCATTTAAGAAAAATTAAAAGTTCTCAGCTAATGTATTGCATTGCTTTAAAATACATGTACTACCCAAACAATTATTAAACTAGTAAACTGAAAACATGTAATGTCACTATTTATATCAAACTGGTCATGGCTGTAAACTGGTGTGAATTCTGTAATTACTATTTTTACAGTATATTATTATAATCTTAATACATATATGTTTGCTTTATCATCACATTATCCATTTAGTGAACGGTACTGAGTTCGAGCCCCAGAGTGAACATCAACTCTGAGAAGTAGGTACATCCAACTGATGGGTCCTAGACAGGACGAAACATGCGTCAATCTGGATTCCATTGCTAGCCACTATCTATCTTTGCATATCTAATGTTACCATTTATATCAAATTGATCATGCTTGTAAACTGATGTGAATTATGTTATCATAATTTTCTAAATATATTGTTATTATAAGCAATGGTGGATAGTGGCTAGCAGTGGAATCCACGACGTGCATTTCGTCCTATTTGGGACTCGTCACCTGGATGTACCTGCATCTCAGAGTTGATGTTCACTCTGGGACTCGAACCCAGTTTCGTTCACTTTCAACGCCATCATATTATCCACTTAGCTACTGAGTCCTGATAGCCACTTGCTTGTGCAATGTGGTAAAGTTTAAATTCACTTAGTATTATAATCTTAACACATGTATGAAATGTATTCAACCTGTTTACTTTATCATGATTATGAAGATTTAGATTATACTTAAAATGAAACAAATTTATAGAATATAATGAATTGACTTACCACTGTATAAATAGTTTCATTATTTTTACAACTTGCTGGTAAACTATTATTAGTTCTTCGATAATCTGTAAACATTGAACTTCCACAACATTTATACTACAAGTGAATGTTGTAACAGTAAAGTATACAATTAACTTACATTAGTTTGTAATTGTTCAAATTGTTCATGATATAATGGATGTATTTCATAATAATTCAATGAATCCTTTAATGTATAATTAGCATTTGTAATGAACTAGATTATAATAATAAATAAAATTAGAATGAATTAATCATACTTCATTTGGTGTCATTACTGTACCTAATGATATACATAATTCAGTCATTGTTGCTATAATCATACAAGTAATATGCTAAATACAATAGTATATTAGTTATTATTTAATTAGTGATATATTTACCAATATAATAACAATTTGATTTGGTTTCATTATTTTACAATAACCAGTAATTGAACCAATGATACCAATAAATCCTGTAAATATAATTGTTGGTAATATAGGTGGATTAATTCCTTGTAATATTGTCTTGAATTGTCCCAAATTATCTTGTGCTTTAATACCTAATGCAAATAAAATGATACTATATACCTAAATATAATGAATAATCATAATAATAAAATAGGATTAAATCAATATATGATTAGTTACCAAGAAAACACCATTTAAAATAAGAAATAATCGATTCCATCCTTGTTCACTTAGTGATAATTTCATATTGTTCAATCTTGATAAATATTAAAATGAATTAACTTTAATTTTGTTGATGAAATGAAATAATTTTAATCAAATTTAATAATGAATCAAGTTTTAATTTAAAAAAATTTTTTTTATTTTTTAGTTGATATACATGTATCTATGATTGTGTGTATGTGTTGGCTTGGTAACTAATGCACATCTTGTCAAATCAAATAATCACTGATATAATATTCTCCTGACATATAAAAAACATGAATATACTTTTTCATATGTTAGTATAATAGTATCTATCAATCTATCAATTAGAAACCCCTTCTGAAATTAGAAATATGTAAGAAAACTTTTTTTTTTCATTTCGAATATGTATGTATTTCTATTTGTATGTGTCTAACAATCTGATAAGGTGTTATGACGTATACCTATCAGATAACAATTTATACTGTATGAAGATGCAATTTTGAAAATTACCACAATCAGAAGGGGTTTGTGGAGAGTTTAAAAATTCCACAGATTGAAATCATGAGTCAATTGAAGCTAGACCACCATGGAGAACCTGGAAGTACTGGACGGTCGTTTTTTTCTAGTATAGGACTCCTCAGCAACGCGAATCCACGATCCCGCACTCCGCGAGATTCGAACGCAGGACCTATCAGTCTCGTGCGCGAGCGCTTAACCAACTAGACCACTGAGCCGGCATCCATTGGTGTTAATGTCTAACTTCAAACAACCCATGATGTTGCGCCACCGTATACCATTGTCTTCAGTGAGCTGATATCTCACAACAGACCTGGTTGAACTCCACTGGTAACGACTTCTTACTAGAACTCCAGGAGTATCTGCTGAGGAGTCCCATACTAGGACGAAATGGCTGTCCAGTGCTTCCAGGTTTTCCATGGTGGTCTAGCTTCAGTTGACTCATGATTTCAATCTGTGAAATTACCACAGTCGTCATTAAACTAGTACTGTCTATGTAAGATAATCATTGTTGGTGGACCGGATACGGTAAGCTACAACTTACTATGAAAGAGAACAAACCAACTTTCATCTGAAAAAAAGTTAGGAAAGAATATTGAAAGTGGTGGGTGGGACATACATTACGGAAGTCATCAAACTGGATCCTGGGGTAAGTATTAATGTGCAATTCTGAAAGAGAACGGAAAAATGGAGGATCAAAGTATCCACTGCGTCAGAAATCGAAACTAGTCATCAAAAGGATAAATAGCAACTAAAAAACAGCTGATCAGAATTGAACAGGACAGAGTTGGGTGTGGAATGCTGGTGGTCAGTCTATGCCCCCTCTACGAGGGGTAACAGTGACTAATGTCTGTACATCTGAATTCAGTAGTTGAATGGGAAACCCGTTCAGTGTCTGTGGTGAGTTGGATTGAGTGCGAGCCCTAGGTTAAACGTCAACACAGGGATTCAGGTACATCCAAATGAATAGAATAAAACACATGTTCCGAATTCTACTACTGACTACGATCACTTCTATAAAAATTATTGGTTTTCTTACCTTTATTTCTTAGTTAACAATAACGCTATCATTTCATTGTCCATAACTAGTATGCACCACACCTCAACCTATAAGTTTGACTGGTGTATATATGTGAAATAAATATAGAATTCAGAATACAATATTATGGTCTATTTTTCCAGAAATCCCATTTGTCAAGTTTTATCGTCTAACATGTAACATGGTTTATTTAGATATAGCACAAAATCAAATCATTGAAAGGAGTCATTTAGGTACTGTAAACTATTGTGCCACATAATAGTCCTGAGAACAAATTGAAATCAACCAGCTTCATAATTTAGAATATAAACTGTTGACAATTTCACAGATTGAAATAATGCGCACTGCTGAGGAGTCCCATACCATGACGAAACGGCCGTCCAGTGCTTCCAGGCTTTCCATGGTTGTCTAACTTGAATTAACTCATGATTTCAATCTGTGAAATTTCTAAAATCTCCACAAAACCCCTTCTGTTGACAATTTATTCCTTTTTTTGATAGAACAATAGAAGATGAGGTTGACCTGTATAGTGTGATACACTTGCATTACATATATTTCGAATTATCTAATCACACATATTCTTCTCAAGACACTCATAAAAACCAACGAAAGTCAATTAAGTAAAAGGTTAAATAAACATGACATGATAATTGTAAACATTATGAAGAGAAAAATACTGATACTCTAAGAGAAGAATAGGAAATTGTCATACCAAGGATCACCAGGACATATTCAAGGCTACGACAAACCTTTACTGTTTTTGATGGAGTTTTGTTCTCTGAGTTGGATGATTTGATCATGAAGCATTCATTGTTCTTCTGAACGACATCATCAGCACAAACGTCATAGAGGACTAGAAGATGAAGCTAAAAAGGATACTCACGTCAGAACAATTGGAAATCCTGACAATAGCCATCGAGATATCATGCAAACGACACAGAGAACAAAGAAGAAACTTATCAACTTCTCAAAGCCATCCATGGAAGAAAACACAAACAACTGCGTGGTCAACTTGTCAAAGTAACCACCAACAAACATAAAACCTTCACTGTGCACGTAAACAGGCTTTGGATAGCTAGTACCCAAGGTTTCTATAAACGTAAATATTAGACTTTGGTAATTCGTATATAGCATTTTAAAAGCTGTGTTGATGTCAATTCTAATGAGAAACCATGACCAATCGAGCATAACCCTTACCGGGTGTGTGACAGATATCCACCCTGGGCAATGAAAGAAGGGTTGCGTAAGATCATGGATTGATTAAAGTTAGACAGTAACATCGTTTGATGCCGGCTCAACGATCTAAAGGTTAAGTGATCACACGCAAGCGCGAAGGTCCTGGGTTTAAGTTTCGTGTTAGGGGTTGCGGATGAGTACTTATGAGTCCGAAACCAGAACAAACAGGCCATGTAGTTTTTTCAGGTTTTCACTGATCGTCTGAATTGGACCAACTCTTAATTTCAACTGCGACAATGCTACAATCTCTGAAAATCCTCATACTGATAACATTAATAATTTTTCAACAGGTAAAGTCAGACAGTAATTTCTGATAATTAGTGATAATAATTAATCGTGGCAGTACCTCTGTTCAATATCCTTTTTGGTCATTATCGCCAGCTACGACGCAAGAAAATATAGGACACTGGTCTTTACATGATTAAACTCCACCAAAATTTATGAATGAACTCCATGAGCTAGAAGTGTGATACAAACAAACACCTCCTTCAAGAATAAGTATACGAAGGATGGTGATTGGAAGAAAAGATAACAATCAAATTGTATAGGAAAATGTAGTATGCATTTCAGATGGATATATTTCTGACGCAAAATGTTGTTATCCAATGAATAAACCTTGTTTTTATTTGCATTACTTATGTATGAAGTAGTGTTCCAGTGAATAACAACAATTAGTTCAACAATCATTCATTACAAAGACCTTTTATGCTAAATATTCCATTAGTTTTGAGGTGGTAACAAAGATTTGTAGCTCATATTGATGACTTCTATTGATGATTTAATTCTAAAGTATTCATTGCTTTCTCAAAAAAGAAACGTTAGCACATTACTTAATAAAATGTGATCACAAAAGTTTAATAGACTGTTCTTTTGACATTGAAACTCCGCCTGGAGACTCTGTGGGGCTACTGCCGGTCCCAAGCCCGGATAAAGGAGGAGGGTTGCTCATGGGGTAGGCAGTCCCATCCCGTAGGAAAATAACTCGTTAAAAACACGCTAACCAGAAGAAATAGTTCAAACCATTTAAACTATGCCCTGGGAGTTAGAAGGTCATCATTTAGAAGAGTTATGACACCTCATGGTGAAGGCGAGTTCCTTCGGAAGTCACGAGGCCTATGCCTCTTCTGACAACCAGAGAAACCATTTATGAAGGAACTGCTTTACACTGACTTTTGTTCATATGCAGAAAATTTATGGTTTTTATAGCATTTGAAAAATTTTAGAACGCTACTAAATACAACAGTATAGGCAATTATTCAATCAGAAATGCAACATGTGACTTTTCAGTTTCTAGATGTTTCTGGCAAAACTCCTGTTGAATGTTAATTGAACAACATGGTTCTCGGTGTTTTCAGAGGCTTTTTCGTCTTTTTTTCGAGGAATTTCCTGGATCTCCCCAATACTTGAATAACTAATATTTTTACAAATTGTGAAGAAAAGATTTATGGGCGTCGTTACTAATGAACATTTATTGTAAAAGTGTCTAATGAAAATGTTCTCAGTAACATTTGAATGATTTCATTGATTAATTAGTAAAATTCATGACTAGTAGCGCAATTTCGTGGATTGGTTGAAGTTTAACATTAGCACTGTCGGATGGCGTCTCAGTGGTCTAGACGTTAAGCGCTCACACGAGAGACCGATAGATCCTGGGTTCGAATCCTCAGGGGGGCGGGACCGTGGGTGAGAACTGCTGAGGATTCCCATACAAAGATGAAACGGCTGTCCAGGCTTCCAGGTTTTTCATGGTAGTCTAGCTTCAATTGACTCATGATCGAAACTATTGAAATCTGTATTTCATTTTCTAGACCAAACATCCATTTACAGCATAGTTGCATACTCGCATATTATTGAGCATAATGAACAAGTAATGAATATAAAAGCAAAACTGTATATGTAGTGTTTATATACTGACTTATTGATATCACTAAATCTAGTTTTAATTATTCGGATTCAGATTTGTGTAGTAAGGACAGAAGGCCTACGGCCTATGTTATTCCTTTTCTAGTATACTTCTATGAATGTCTGGTTTTCTCTTGAATGAATCAACTGAATGTAGGGACACCACTGCTTCGGGTGACATGTTCCAATAATTGATGACTCAGTGTAAAAACCTGTATGACACGGGTATTTTGTTCGTTCTTGGCTTTTCTACTCGCCTGCTATGTCCTCTGAGATGTATCAATCTAGTGAAGAGAAAAAGAGAGGATACATTAGGTCCAAAATCATTTCTTAGTATTCTATACATTAAAATCAAATCACCTCTTAA